ATAATCTTTGTTGTGATTTACTACAAAGCATTATTGCAAAATCTAGATCTATTCTCGGCCATCTATACAGCAATCTGCGTCCTTAGAATGGTGGACTCTTGTGTTACAGAGATAATTTACACATGAGTCTGGTTTGGCACATTATGTATTCTTGAAACTAAGATATCAAATTGTAGAATAAATCAGCATAATCTATCGCAGTACGGAGTTGCCCCAGAACTTAATTATACTAATTATCTGAGGAATCAAACTGAGCATTAGGTGCTTAAAAGACTATGCAAGAAGCTCTCTGTTGCCACCCAATGGTCAGTATATAAAAAAGTATATTTCTTGGACGATACATTTCCTCCAATTATAAGGTCCATATTGCTGCACATACTGATATATTGTTTAAATCCCTATATTTCTAAGAAGTGGCAAATAGTGGAGCTTCTTTTTTCATATGCATTTAGCTCACCCATTTTTAATCCATATGTTTTCTCTTATAGATGTGAATATGTTTCCAAAGCTTATTGTATGAAAGTACTAAATATTATGCAATGTACGCCCTGTTTAATTATGGTTGTCGGGTTGTTATTGTTTAAGAAACCAAACACAAAATTTCTGTGGCTATAAATCATGATGGGGCATGAATGATGGTACAGTTCTTTGTATCTAATAGCTAGCTTGACAGGAAGCTGGACACAGGCAGCATGAATACATGAGTTTAACTAAGCACATTGTGAATTATTGTAGTTTAGTTCCCACCCTGAAGTGTTTTGTTGCAATAATTGTTTACATATACTTTCTCACACTATAAAATGCAGAAATGAATAGTACTTGTTACAGTAAAAAGCACTGTATGTAGACTGCAAATGATCTAAACTGATAGTAGAATAATCAAGATGATCCTTTTCATTTTGTTCCTTTTAGTTCTGTCTAAAAAATACTGAAACCTCATTTTGCTACCAGATATCTTTATTTCAGATTGTAACTGCATAATTCAGTAAAGTGGCTTCCTTAACCTAGTAGCTTTTGCATGTATGATGACTAAAACTCCTAAAATCCCTGTTATTATAGATGGACTGGATGAAGTTTTGGGAAGAACACCAAAGTTGTGGGAGCAACATACTCCACATTTATTGAAGTCAGCGGAATTGGGAAATCTCTGATCTTGGAATTAGTGTCAATAACTTTGTCTCTGAAGCTCCATACCTAGTTCTCTCTCTTTCTCTCTCTTTCTCTCCCTCCCTCCCTCCCTCTCGCCCCCCTCTTCCCCCGACACATACATATACACACACAGAGAGATGCATGTACATAAACACATGCATGTGCACACACAAGGGCAACCAGTCCCATGTGCACTGGGCAGTCCCACACTTCAGAAGATTGCCAGGTTGAAGAAGGCTGATATCTTCTCATCTGTTACTATGAAGCTGCTCAGCAGTTGTTGGCATAATTGCTTGTCTATTACACAGGTCTTGGATAATCAGAAAAAATGTGTCACCAATTGGCTGACTTTCTCTGTTTCTGGAAAGATAAGGGGCATGGTTTGAAAAAAATATATCAAGGGAAACAAAATAAATAGGGGCAAATGAAAACTTTGGAGAAAAATAAACTAGGTTAAGGAGAAGAGGAAAATAAAGCAGCAGGCAATCTAAGAGGCAAAAGAAAATTGAAAATTATCAGGACTTTCATGATGGGAAGGTGAATTTGAGGAGTGCTTAAAGAATTCAATCTTTGTCCGTTCTATTATAGAAGGATCTGATATGCACCTTCTGATGTAATGTGCATATTATCATTTGTCTACTGAGTTTGCACCTTTCAAATATTCTAATAGAATTCTCTAATCTAAACTTTTGAAATATGTTGTATAGTATATAAAATGAATATTTTAAACTAATTATATAAATGTATAAAGATTATGTGTGTATCATTGCAGATTAATGGTAAAGTGCAATGGAAGAAACATATAGGTGAGCACATGTGAAAGCAATTCAGAAATAGAATCTTCTCTGAAACTTCGCATATTGATTTGAGTTCATCAACCAAGTCTTTAGCAGCTGGTGATTTTTAATAAGGTTCATAAAGACAAAACTGGTATAGCATCTCATTTTCATATGGTGCTATTCACAGTTGTTCTAACTTCTCATATTCTGATCTTCGCCTGATATTTTTAGTGGTTACGAACTCCACCTCCTCACAAAGGACTTTAGATAAAAAGAACTTGTTTAGTTAAATATATATTTCTTTGCATACCCATATTTTTTGTTGCATGCAACTAGGCTAAGTACAAAGCCAAGTCATGGTCCTTTCATTTGGTTTTCTCAAAAGGCAGTCATTGTCTCATCACTTCAAGTGGTACAGAAGTGCTAACAAATGGAAACACAAAGCAGGGTCTCAGCTGTCACTAAAATTTTATGTCTTGCAAGCCAGACTTCTAGAGACAGTCCAGTGTTTGATATCTGTCCAAATAGGTTCTGTTTCCACTTATGTGATTTGCAAAGATAGCATAGTTCCCAGCTTTCTGGATTTATAGGCCTGAATATTTTTCTAAATAACTAAAGTGCAGGTGAATGGTGACTGCATGTCACACAATCTTGGGTAAAGACCGATCTTTTAATAGGGCTAAAAACAGTGGGGATTTGAACCAGGCTTCATTCTGTTTTGGTCTCAGAAATTGAAAATGGTTATGTGTTCTTGTATTAGCATTACTCATTTACTGCTTTTAAGTCCTTACTGTAAATATTTAAGTAAACTAATAATGCTCCATTTGGGTAACTCTTTTTTTTAAATTTATTGAACACAGATGTGCTTGGCTGGGTTTTTATTTCAGTACATGGTGTGAATACAGCCAAAGGCTGCAGAATTTTCCACATACTGGTATATTTTGATAGAAAACTTTTAACATTTAAATTTAACAGTTGGGTAAATGGAAATTCACCATTCTGTCCTAAAATAGAAAAAGGTGAACTTACATACACCAAAATGAAGAAAGAATTGTAGAATCAGAAGTATAGGGTACTTAATCTCATTTGATATGGGACAGGAAATTTTGTGCATCTGGTACAGCTTTTCTCTGAAGATCTCTTTTAGCTGATTACAGTAGATAAATTGTCAAACTATTCTTCGGTCAGCCACAGTATTTATATTTGGGTAACATGTTCAGAAGATGCATGAAAATAGCTCAGAGCTTTTTTCCATTTAAAAAAAAATACGTTTGAAAGAGGGCATTTGTTGATACTTTTGCTAGTACCCAATTATAAAGCTTCTATATGTAATTTCTAGCAATGATGTTTTTTAAATCCCCCCCAACTCATAATAGGAAAATATGTTAGGAATCCAGATGTTAAAACTAAAGAGTAACTTGTCTATTTCTAGAAATTTACATGAGAAACCCAGAATAATAAATAAATGTGTATATAAAACAAGCATATGGTACAAAATTGGATGACTATAACCTGCCCTCCTCCAGGAAGCTTTACATAAGTTGTTGATCTGTGGGATTTATTGGGTATGGTCAAGATTTCTTGATCTAGATAATTCAGTAACACTAAATCAGGGGTGTCCAAACTTTTTGCAAGGAGGGCCAGGTTTGGTGAGGGGAAAATGTGTGGGGCCGACCATTCGGCCTGACATTCTTTGAACCATTAACGTTAAATGCAAAGGAACTATTTTGTGAAAGATTAAACCAGGGGTAGTCAACCTTTTTATATCTCCCGCCCACTTTTGTATCTCTGTTAGTAGTAAAATTTTCTAACTGCCCACCGGTTCCACAGTAATGGTGATTTATAAAGTAGGGAAGTAACTTTACTTATAAAATTTATAAAGCAGAGTTATAGCAAACCCCTACCGTCCACCATGAAAGCTGGAACACCCACTATTGGGCGGTAGGGACCAGGTTGACTACCACTGGACTAAACAAATAACTCAGGCAGGGAGAAGAGGCTGAGGGCCACTCGAAATTTGAAAACGGGCCACAATTGGCCCCTAGGCTGGACTTTGGACTTTGCCTGCACTAAATACATAAATTAAGTATAAATACTTATTTGGCAGTCTGACCATGAAGATCATTTGTAATTTGAAATGATGTCCTAAATTAGCAAATAATAATTTAATATACAGATATTTAACTCTTGTAATCTTTCCTTGCTTCCTCAAAACCATCAGTTTGTCTGCAAATAGAGTTTTAGCTTACAAAAGCAAAACAAAATGCAAAAAATAAAGGGCAGAAAACCAAGGAAATTAAAATTAAAATCAAGGTCATTGTAATTAATTAATTCAAAAGCTAGGCAAAAGGGGCTACATTTTCCCTTTGCCTAAATGTTGGGCAAGCTGGAACCAAACATGTGTCCCTTGGTAAAGCATTCTAGAGTCTGGGGACCATTGAGGAGGAGGAGAAACTTTTTTGTGGGTCACAAAGCTAACCTTCTGACCACAGGATACTTGAGAAATATACTTATCTTTGGTCATCGTTGAAGATTCCAAAATAATAAGATGTGCTTTGTGGTGCCATTGAGCAAGCTGCACTTTTTTGTAATTGTATATCATGATGCATGTCTCATGTAGGTAAAGTTTGCATCCCAGCATTGCACTCTATGTCTTTTCATTACCCTAATCTTTTCCTACCCCTCTTGAAGGGGCCTTTACTGCTTATATAAACCAGTAGGCAGGTTCATAGAGGGAGACATAATGCTGAGGCCCTAATCCTTATTCTGACAAAGAGAACAAATGCTATTGTGTTCCATTCAGCCAATTTGATTTTAGCGTTTTGTGATCTATTACTCATGGAATTTAAAGTATTTATACTACACTAAGTGACATTTATAAAAGAACTGCCTTGCTGTATCCTATAGTAACACAACAACCAGAGGGCATACATTTTGCAACCATCCTTGCAAGAATCTGCAATAAATCACATCTGGATGATTTACCATGAACTGATGCTCTATGGTTAATGTTAGATTAATTACTATTAATCTATTAATTACTATTCTTCACATCTATTTTCCCTATTTCAGATACAAGGCAACTTCAGCCATCTCCTCCCTGGCCTTATGACCCATCTTACCAATACCTGGGATCAATTGCAACTTCTTCTGTTCATCCAGCTACACCAATTTCACCTGGAAGGGCTAGTGGAATGACCTCCCTTTCTGCAGAGCTTTCAAGCCGGCTAACAAGTAAGTGGCTTGGAGAATCTTGTCCCTTGAACAAGTAAAATGCTGCAGCTTTTTGCATAAATTATGGTGTCAAGCTTTAATATAATTCCAGAAATGTGGTTTTACCCTATTGGATTTCCTGTTCCATCCATAACAATTCTTCTGATAGTTTCCAGAACAAAAAAACATTGTGTTTTGATTGGGATAAATATATAATGAACAAATTAATGTATGGAAAAGAATTCAGATCCAAGACATTAGTGTAGCTAGTCAGAAATGTAATATTAGAAGAATAATACTTTAGTCCCATTTTTAAAACACTAAGTTAGGAAACCAGCAAGTTTAAGATATTGCACCACTGGGGGTAGTGGTGGAAGTTATAGTCAACTCTCAAGAACAGAAGTTGATTGGGTAACTTTTGGCCAATCACTTTCTCTTAGCCCAACTTACCTCACAAATGGTTGTTGTGAAAAAAGAATGATATGCATGCTGCCTTGAATTCCTGAAAAGTGGGATATACAGTGGTTCTTAAATGTTTGTGAATCCTTTCGAATTTTCAATATTTTGAAAATATGACCTAAAACTTTGTCTGTTTTCCCAAAAATCCTAAAATTAGATGCTAGCTTGGAGCACTTTTAGTAGCTTCAGCTTGAATAAATCACACCTGGATAAGAGTTGTTAATTATTGTTGTTGCATGATATAAGAATAGATAAGCTCGCCAGCGGCTTGTTTCACCATCATTTCATCAGCATGATGGGAAATTCCCATACTGATATATCCCAGTCATGGGCACTATTTTCCCACGACCCTGTGTACCTCACAACCAATTCTCTTTTGGCTTAGATACAGCTCAGCTCAAATTGCAAAAGTTCCATTTTGTGCTTTCCAATGCAGCAGTTCTGTATGGCTTGGAGGCTGGCTGTTTTCGCATTCCTTACCCTGCCCTCTGTTACTTAAAATTTAAGGCTTGGTTTATTTTATAGATTTCATCCACACCATTGTAATCTTTCAACCCACTTTTCAGTCCCTAAAAATGCATATCATTTCCCCCCCCCCGCACTTATGAATAAAACGCCTGAAATTCTGCCTTCCCCATCTTCTATCCTCTGGGCTCAAGCATTGTCATCTCCTCTTTCCCTTCTACAAGGTAACCTATAGCCACAGTTGCAATTGTTGAGAGGTGCATCTGGATGCAAAACAATGACATTACTGACATCATAGCTCCTTGGTACAGATACGTGAGGCAATCAGATGTTCAGCACATGACATTTCTATTACTATATTTCCCTGCTGCATTACAGCTTCACCAATTGAATTTCTGCTTCTCACAGCTACCACAAGCAGAAACCTTCTCAGGGAAAAAGTGGCAGTCCTCTTTACAACTGGCATTTAGGCTTGAAATCTGATCTGCAAGGGAGGCATTTCCAGGTGTTCAGTAGCATTGTTTAGAAGAAAGGCAGATGGTGATTATATATGGCACATCCAAAATTTCGACTATAGGCTGTCACAGAAACCTTCTGAGAAACTTGTTGAAGGATATCAAAGAAGTCTGGTTTGCCGGCTGACAAGCTTTCAGAATCTGACACTATATTTGCAGCACCCTTTTAATCCAGTCGCAGAACAGACAGTTTTTATTTTCTTTCTTCCACCTTTCTGACTCTTTCCCTTCTGTAGGCACACATTCCTTTTAGGCAGACTCCACACTGTGTCTGAGGAGGGCTTGCCATGAGGAAAGGTTGCTTTATTGTTATTTTAATGCCTTGTAATAGCTGGCAAGGAATGGGAGCCAAAGTCTCTGTTAACTGGAGCCTGTCTCCTAGCTCTCTTTTAAGAGGCCATTATCTTTCATCTGTGGGAGGGGGGAGGCTTTGGAGGGGAAATGAGAGTTCCTCAATCAGCAGAGGAAGGGAGCTGAAGTTCATTATTTCAAATGGGGAACAAGCTATTCAAAATGCTTTTAGTAGTTCCTAAATTTATAAACTTTGTGAATTTCTGTTGACCAAGCAGCCAGTACTCTATGTAGTCCAGATGAAAGGAGTAAAGGAATGAAGTTCACAGAGAGAGAGATTACCCCTTCCCCACTTCTCTTTCTCATTCTCACATGCACATACATATAGCTAACAAACTTTAAATGATCCCTGCAAAGTGTCTGCTTGTTTGGGACTAGCTTGGCTTCTCTTCTCCTACATTTCATGATTAGGGTTACTGAGGTGAAAGGTGGATGTGTGGAAAGGTTCAGCCTCACTTGTTTTTCAGTGTGACCAAACTGTCAGAGAAACCCGATTCATCTCCTACTAATTAAATATTTCCATACTTCCCATTAACTACCCGATTTACAAAATGCATCGGGATTGAAATATACTAAAGTAAAAGAAATCAAGAAATGGTAGTTCCAAGCAACTATGTTTTTAGTGGGCCAAAAGGCTGATATTGCAGCATTGAAAAGATAATATGGCCCCTTTCACTGGATTAGAGACCTGATTGCATTTGCCACTTATGAGTAGATTGCTTACAGAGATAGACTTCATATAGACAAATTTAATGAAATAAGGAATTAACTTTTAGAAAATAACAGAAGGTAAAAAAGACCATGCTATATTAGATGTATTATATTAGAAAATATATGCATTCAAATAATTCTTTAAATAGCTATAGACTGCTAAGTAATATACTTTCTTTTAAGTTTAATTTTTTCACTTTAAAAGCCACTGTTTTTTTTTACAATGTATAGATTTTTATTTTGTTTCTTTTTCCTTTTTTATCATTATTTTGAAAGCAAAAATAAGATCAATTCTCGGTGGTGGTTTTGTGACAGGGACCGAGGTGAAATATTTCAAGCTATACATTCCCAACAACACTCTATCCATGCTTGGAATACTGACGGAAATGAATAGTCAGCAGTTTCCTAAATAACTGCTCAAACATTTTAGTCAACTGTTCAAGATAAAACTTTTCTTTGTTTTCACAAAGCAGACATGACCTGCAAACCTTAACACTGAAATCTTTTTCGTAGTTGCTTCTTTCTTACTAAATATATGACAATCACAGTGCTCTATCACTTGCTGCTATCACTCCATAATCTATTTATCATTCTTTATTTTCACTTAAAGCTCAAAATCCAACTCTGAGTTCTGGGTTTACCACATTTTACATGATAAATGGAGGTTCTCCAAGCAGGATCTCCAGGGGTTATTGTATCTGAATAATGTTATGCAAATAAATAAATAAAAATTCCTAAAGAGAATCAAATGTCATTCTTGGTCTTTTCTTTTGCTGCTAAGGGAATATATTTGATTTTATATCAAGCAAAATGTTGATTATTGAACCCAATTGATGATTGTAGCAAAGAAATGGCTATTTGACACAGGACTTGTGAATAGTGGGACAAAGCAAAAGCAGCTGTCACATTCATGGAACAAAGTCACAGTTTTCTCACTAATTGGATCTTAAGCAGGATTATTGAATAGAGATCTAAGGTTAAATTTATGGTTTGGGTGGTTAGATGAAAGACTTTAACTTTAGGTTTAGAAACAGAACACCTCTGTAGTACAACTATTACAAGATTGGTAAAACGTTATTCATATTTCCAATGATAACTAGACATATATACTTAATTTTCTATACTGTGTATACTGAAACACACTATGAAGAATAATCCTGTACCCTAGAGAACATGGCTAATTTATTTTTACTTAAGGCATACATTTCAAAAGCATTCAAGAGCATTACAAAGGCTTAACTGTTAATAGCCAATATTTTGTTTTGCTATTTTACGTTTGTCAAATCTAATTTTCTATTTATATCCTTTCTCCCAAACCAGGTGCTTCAGACCTAACAGCATTCAGTGATCCAAGAGTAGGAATTGATCGTCCATTTTCTGCCATTCCTTCCATTTCTGATCCTCGTATGCACTATCCTGGAGCATTCACCTATACTCCAACCCCAGTCAGCTCAGGGATAGGAATTGGCATGTCTGCCATGACCACCGCCACCAGATATCACACATACCTACCACCTCCCTATCCAGGTTCTTCTCAGGCTCAAGGTAGCCCATTTCAGACCAGTTCTCCTTCGTATCATCTCTACTATGGAACATCAGCAGGATCTTACCAATTCTCCATGATGACTGGTGGTGATCGGTCTCCCCCACGTATTCTGCCTCCTTGCACTAATGCTTCCACCGGATCTACGTTACTCAATCCCAACCTTCCAAACCAAAATGATGTTGTGGACACTGAAGGCAGTCATAGCAACTCCCCCACCAATATGGGAACCACAGCAAGATTAGAAGAAGCAGTGTGGCGACCATATTGAATTATTATTACAGGTGTCTATTCTGGCAATATCCATGCTTTTATATGACAAATGAGAGCACTGCCATGTTTATCTTTCACACAGAATAACAATCAGTTCTGAAGTCAGTATTTCTGGAAATATTGCTATGATTTTGCTCAATGAAGTGATTACATTCCCATAGACTTTTTCCAAGTTTGAACTTCAGAAAATAACAACATTTTAAGATTGTAGTTTTGTTCACTCATGTTGGCTATAAATATGGAGAAGGATAGATACTCAGTATGTGTCCAGAGTTTCAGACCTTGAAATTTAAAGTATTTTGTTTGACATTTGGTGCTGAGGGATTTAGTCTTACACAATCTTAAATAATTTAATCAATCATTTTGACCTGTAAGTTAAAAGGAAGTATACAACGATTCTCAGAGAGAAACTGTGAATGCTTCTAATTTAGCAATGCTGTGAATAAGAGTTTTTATATTCTGGAAATAATTTTTTAATCAAGTTGTATATCCCAAAGAATACAGGAATTGTTTTTATTTTTATTATGTTTTTCAGCTTGCAACTCATCCTTCTTTGTGTATCATCTTCCTTTATTGGCACCTTAAAATCTGCAGAAAGATTTAATCCTTTTTTTATAATGTGCTCGCTTTTCTTGTACTTTGTCAGCTAAGTGCATCTACAAAAGCCTCTTTTTTAGAAAAGTAATTTAATTTTTTTATTATAAAGGAGTGACAACCTACAGTCCTTCTCAACTACTGAAAAAGTACATGATGAGTTGCTCAATATTTATACTCTGCATTGAACTTTTGTGTGTGATGCACTTATTTAAATATTGCTTTGAAAATAAGCATATACATTTTGTAGCAACCAAAGTTTAAAATTATTACATATAAAATGGCTGGAATAATTATGGATAATGTGACTTTTAATTATTTAGAAATATTGTTTACATTTCACTCCATTTCATTCTCATCAATAATTTAAACAAAGTCACTTTGTCCAATTGAAAAGCCAGGTTTCTTTGAAAATGTTATGATGAATATCATGTTATTCTTTGAATAAGTTTAGGTTGTATTTGCTGCATTTGGATGCTGACTTGGGCACTGGAAACAAAGATTTGTCTCAAAGTATATATTTTGGAATTCCTAGTACAGTATGATATTTATATTCCATCAACTTTCTTAAAAACAACATAAGGGGGAAAAATCAAACAATACAACTAAATATTAGCATTCTAAATGACTATTAAGTTCCACATTATGGTCAAAATACAATACATCCCAGTTTTCTCCCTTGCCCTAATAAGAGATTCAAAAATTCATTTAAGGCTGTATCCTAACCATAATTTTGAAGAACCAAGTTCATTGTGGTCCCTCCCTCCCACATGACACACCATCCAAAGGATTTTCTAGCAATCTTACATAATTGAAGTTCAAACAAATAATAACTTAAGTGTGGGATTCTTCATTCTAGGCATATATTCACTGATTCATCCTCAGCTATTTTGCACCCTTATAAAAGAGAGGTGTGGGCAACGTTGAGACTACTGAACCTGTTTTTGGTCACCCGAGTAACTCCCAAAGTCTCCACTAAAATTCCTATATTCAGAATATTTAGATATTCTGATTTTCAGAAGAAAATTAATAAAAATATGCTATATTTAAAGTGCATTGGGGGAAGCGAGAACAATCCAAATGGGTAAAATAAGAGCAAGAAACCTCATTTACCACTGCAGAGAAGCGATTTCACAACCACCTGGGAACTAAAGTATAATTTTTGGACACACAAATGTATGTTCATAACATAGAAAGAAAAATGTAGATACTTTTTCTCTCTCTAGGAAAAGCACCCCACTTCCACTTTCTATAAGTAGATAGAGGCACAGCATAAAGTAATAATGTTTTAAAAAAGAGTTTGGATAACCATTTGTCTGAAATGGTATAGGGTTTCCTGCCTAAGCAGCAGGTTAGACTAGAAGACCTCCAAGGTCCCTTCCAACTCTGTTATTCTATTCTAAGTCCTAAGCATCCCCACCCTGACATCTTTCCAATATTCAAACTTGCAGGCTTCCAAGTATGCTTACAGTCCAGAAACAAACCCTTGAAGAACAACTGGAATGTGGACCTCACATCTGTATGTGTGATTATGTTTGTGTATCCCACCCTGTAACTCAGTGTGCTTTTTTGTTTGGTTCTATTTGGATTTTATAAAATAGCTTATATAAAAATGCCATTGTTTTCTAATCTCAAACATACAAGATGTCACTTTAAATTAAGCAGCACTAGTTTATGTGGGATCTAAGTACAGTTGTACTCCTTAAGACCACCCAATGCTCTCAATCTCTATCAGAAGAATTCATATCTAGGTACATCCATGAATAATGAATAGCACAATTCTCTTCCAATTTATGCAGAAATAAGTACTCTCTATACTTACTTGAGAATAAGCCCCAATAAACACAATTCACTAGCTTCTTCCAGAAACAGACTGGATTAAATCCATTTTAGCACTCTCTGTTATGCGAATGTACAGTAAAAAGCACTGAGCTTGAGTTGGGTAAGATTCTGGAGAAGCCAATAAGCTTTAAGTGCTTGGTTGGCATATGCATTGTTATAGATGTCAGCCAGGTTCAGATGAAAAGTTGCAAAAGGCCATGTGTAAGCACTTTGCATGTATTCAGAATGCACTAAACTCACAAGAATCAGGGAAGCTGCCTTATACCAGGCTAGTTGTTCACATAGCCTGGTATTATCTACTTCATAATCAGCCAATATTTCTGGCATTGAGCACCATTGGCAAAATCTTAGCACTCTCCTATGATGTTATTATAATTTCACAGGGTTCTCATGAAGTTTTCAACAATTTTAAATATTGCTTTAATTTGAACAAAAATTACTTTGTGAGGGTCTAGAAGATACCATGTTACTTATAGACAGCTTGTTGCTGATGCCTGATGGGCTATCAATAACAATCAGATGTTTTTTCACAATAGTTGCTAACCATCCTTTCAGTTGGCAAGCGATTTAAACCAAGGTCCTTCTGTATGCAAAGTATGTGCTTCACCAGTGAGCTATGACTCAGTTTTTGCAGGTGTGCTGGTTTCCACTTACATGCGTTCCATTCTATCCTTTTTTTGTACTGTTTATCGTAAACATTCAGAATACAGTGCAGTAATGCAGGAAGGTTTTAGGTTGAGAGCACTACATCTAATGTTTCACCTATTATCTTTTCATACCTTTCAATATCTTCCTGGAAGTAAACTCATATAGCACTCCCTAGATTAAAATGTAACAGTACTAACAATTACTTATTTCTTACTTTATTATATTTATCCTTTATTATCCCTGGTGGGCTCTTTACCTAATATTTAATTCATTGCCTTCCACCTCCTCCCCCCTTTGAAAACTAACCAGATTTGCTTTTCCAAACTGTCTTTCTCATGACATTGTCAGTATTAGAATTTGAAAGGCAATTTAGTCACAAATGAATGCCAATGAACTTTTAAAAGTGTATATTCAAGATTTCAAGTATGAACTTGACCACAAGGCACAGAGAATCTACATTTTTTTAACTTGATATCTTCCAGATGTGTTGGATTTCATCTGTCATCATCCCCATCCACTTTGAAAAACTGTAATGGTTTCATAAATATTTTCAGTAGTTGGGGGGGAGCACTTCATTGGACTTTAATTTTATGAGACGTTGATCACATTTGATTTTATATTGCTGTGTAATTAGAAATGCTATAACAAAGCTACTCCTAAAGGTAGAGCTTTACAAATATACAGACATAACATGATAATAAATTTGTTGAGTTTCTGTTGGATCTCATTCAGAAAGAACAATTGCAAGGTGATGTACTTATAATGCAGTGTTTTTGCCTGCCTTTAAATAGTTTGCAACCACTGTAATGTTTCCACTTTGGGGGCAATGGTCCTTATGACTGTATTCTGCGAAAAAATATGGAAGCACTCTTTGGTGAATAACCTTCCCTAATGTTATATGGCAGCCCTCCCTAACCTAGCATTTGGGGAGATTATATGTAATAGCTGAAGGACACCAGATTATACTTAATCTGTCAAAGTGGCCACCTCAGAGGAATATCCCTGTTTTAATGAAACATAGTTGAGTAGACTTAATTTAGGACTTATTGGTCCCAAGCTTGAAGGGCTTTGTTTTCCTAAAACATAGAATCAAACTTGGTAAAGCTGATTATATATTAGAGTAAAACTCATTTGGAGACCTGTGAAAGGTATATTTTAACACTGCCTTTCTCAATCAGGGGTTTTGAAGATGTGCTTGATTTCAATAATGATCAGAAGTGCTGGGCATCAAAGTAAAAAAAAATTTGGAGAGCATCAGCTGTTCTATATTCTATACAAATCAATTATACATTGGAATTCCTTTTGAACCCGAAAAACAGCTATTCCTTTTACAGCAATTTGCTTTATTTTTCTGTCTGACAATTTTTTCCCCTCCAGTTCAACAATATTATCATCTTGTAAAACAGATCATGAAGTACCTGGCTTAATAGCAAATAGTGATTGCTTTATTGAAATTGAATTGAACTGATTAAAAAAAAAACCTGCTGGGCTATCAAGTTCCATAACTGAGATTATAAACATACTTATCTGTAAAAAGAAAAAGTAAGATTTATTTCTAATCACTGCATGTTTGGGGTTAAAAACCCTATGATACTGCTGTTGAAATAACATTTTTCCTATGTCATAATTCAGTGGAGCAAATGGTTCTCATTTATTTCTGCATATTAAGATTTCTATTAAAAGGCCAAGCTGATTTCCAACAGATGACACATAATTATAACTAAAGTACTCATTACTGTCTCCAGAAGATTTTGATACAATTGCTTTAAAAAGAATCCAACCTTTGTTTCTAACATTTTGCCATTCTGTCAACCTTTTGTTGATTTCCCTTGGACAATACTATCCACTAATTATTTTGTTTTACTTGTCATAAAAAGGTTGTCATGAGACTTAATTGTATTTATGTATGTAAATAAGTTTTAAAAGCTTTATAGAACATATTGGTAATGCTTGTAAGTATTTGACATTTTCCTCCTTTACAACACCTTTTCTGAATTCACTTTTCTTAAATACTGTAGAGAACTTTCTTCCAGCTTAATTATTTTAGGTTTTTGAGATGAACTCTTTTAGTTACTTTGTAAACAGTTAAAGCATGGTTTTATGTGGCACACTGAAATATCTTTGCTTTTTTGTTGTAGGAGAATGTGCAAGCAACTGTGGGTTATTTGTGGTATTTGAAAAGTAGCAGACCCAAGTTATAAAAGTGAAATGTTTCAGGAGATGTAAAGTGGTAAATTTGATGAGTGAACAACATAAATAGCAAATTGGGCTGCTTTTGTTAGAACACATGAATTCAACTTTTCCTGAGTGTATTTATGATCAGCTTATACCATGTACAAGAATTGCCACACCTTTTCCTGATCTGGTTATATGGGTCACTTTTAGAAGGAGTTCTCCCCAAACAATAGTGTTTTCTTCCATGGGGGAGAACAGTCCATTTTTACCCACTCAACTAAGTCTCTAGTTGCATAGGCCCTTCCACATAACAAGGTCAATGTGTCCAGAAGAATTTATTGTGAGTAGCATGCAGAGCAGCTGGACTGTTGCATTACTTCTACTGGAAACTTGCTTTCTTTGTACCATAACTGTTCTGTACATTCAATATTACAGTTAGTATCAATGACAAATAAACTGTTTGAGAAGTATATGTATCAAATTGCTTCATTATTTCACTGAACTTTGTGAACGCTAGGTTGGTACTTTGATTGCAGTGCACACTAGAGTGCCATACGTATATGGTGTCTAGCCTCTACTGGAACACAGCCAATGAAGGAAGTTCACTATCTCTCTAGGGAATTTATTTCACTGGTAAACCAATTTCTGCTAATTGTTCTGGCACTTTCAAGAGCCCCAGAACAACAGAGAAGGTCAATCTCTTATTCATCGTAAGTTTGGAAACTCCCAGAAAAATGAAAATCTTGCTGTCCAAAGAATGTTTAAATTTCCATTTAGAAAAAAAGCTCAAATATCTCTTTCCTAAAGTTTCTTGTAATTTTTTTTCAGGATGTGCTCTTAATAACCAGATTCATATCAGTCCAGAATTTGCCTATAGTTCCCAAGATTTGACACCTGAAACAGAAAAATCCACAAGTATCTTTCTATGGGAATACATATCCATGAATACTTTTTCTTGACTTCCCAGTATCTCAACTCAACTTTGCACATTTGCTACATTCTACCAATAGCTGGGCTGCCCTTGTATCCTCAAGTGATGGGTTATGCTCTGCCTTTCCCAGCCCTGTGAGACATGGTTGACAGTTTGCTTCCAGGTGAAATTGAAGCTGCTGGTCATTGCCTATAAACATTGTCTTGCATGGCATTGGTTACTTGAGGGATTGTCTGTCTCCTCTGATATATACTGTGAAAGTTGGCACACTAGTGTAGGAGCTTTGATTAATCCAGGGGTCAGCAACCCATGGCTCTGGACCCACATGTGGCTCTGTCATCCCTCTGCTGTGGCTCCCTGTCACTCAAAATATGTGTCATAACCACCAATGTGTGACACCTACCAGCATGTAATTTATTGAGCTTTTCAACTCCCAGTAGGTCAACCATGGATAAATCCAAGAAAAGAAATGTTTCAGAAGAAAACAGAAAACACGTTTAATTCAACTACATATGCTAGTTTTGTGCCCGCTCAGGAAATAGTCAGGCGCAGGAAGGGTTTTGTGGCTCCTGGTGTTTTCTTTTCTTTGGGAAATGGGTCCAAATGGCTCTCTGAGTGTTTAAGCTTGCCGACCCCTGGATTAACCAATGCCATATATCAGGACACTGGAAGCACACCTTCTCTGCAACACACTTGGAATGCTGTTTGGTATGAGGTTCCCCCCAAGATCCAGGTGACTCCCCATTCAATTTATGTTTTGAAGTGCCTTGGAGACCTGGTTCTTACCCCAGGCCTTTGGTGAAAGTGATTGAAGCCCCCTTTAGATTGTGTGAGTTGCTTTTCTTTGTTCCATACAGGTTTTGTCATTTTTGCCATCTTTACTCTTCATTTTTGTCTTTTGCTATTTTTTTATTTTTAATGTTTTATCTTGTAATTTATAACTTGTAATTTGTAAACTATACACAGTTTCTGGATATCAGGCAGCATATTTATATTATTTTGGTTGCTCACACAGTTAAACAGATGTTTAGATGGGATTATTTGTTGTTGTTGTTGTTGTTGTTGTTGTTATACAATTGTATCACAGCGGCCAGTTGTTTCGCCGGATTTGGCATTGGTTACTAGTCGGGCCCCACCCAGGGGCCTAGGACGTCGTAACATATTTTTGTAATATGCGTGCAGATCCAAGAAAATTGTTGTTGTTGTTCTTGTTGTTGTTATTTTTATTTTTATTATTATTATTATTATTATTATTATTATTATTATTATTATTATTATTATTATTA